GCTGTTCAATTTGCAAGTCTTTTCTAATGATTTTTCAACATAAACTTGGCATTCTGTTAACAATCTTTGAGAATAATATGGGCCAATAATATTTAATCGAACTGCAGCTGATAAAATTGCACGAGCAAATAGAAATAGGTAAAGATGCTGTGTTCGTTCTGTTAAATAGAAAAATGTTTGAAAACAAAATAAATGTGAAAAAAATACTGCTCATTAAGAAAACAATTGCGTTACCCAAACTAATTCCGAGGCAATTTGTGACCAATCCAAAACAAATCGGCAGGTGTCCATGTGAGATCTCTTTTCTAACTCTAAGCTTAAATTTTTCTACCACAAAATCCTTCATTTTCGATTTGCTATTGTTATTAGCGAAAGATTTAGTAAACAAAGTTAACATAGCAACGCCTTGAGTTTTCGAAGCTCGCTTTGTGACATAATTTGATGTGCAAGCATTATATAAATCATCTAAACTTATAATTTTTTCCATAATTTCTTCTGTATTATCTACAAAATCTTCTTTATTATTCAAATTCTCACAATTTAAATTCTCTACATTGACGATCCACCAAGTATCAGTGACAAACGGTAGCGAACTATAAGCATAATTCTCAATGCTATTACTTAAAAACAATAATAGAGATTCAGTGTCTGTAACATGTCCTGCTTGAGTTGCAGACTCCAATCCGGCAGAAGCTACAAAACCTCCGGTTGGCAATGCTGAATCGGCAAATTGCCATAATAACCAATCTTCACGGTTTATATCTTGAGTTTGAGCATTCATTTTTGGTTAGAAGTGAAAATGAAAGTGCAGTTCGGAATATATACTATCAGGTTGTCGATCATAGACTATCAATTACCCTGTGTTAAATGTACTAAATATTTCGTGTAACGATCTCGAAAATCTATACGTAGTAAGGTCTTATTACATAAGTAATTGGGCAAAATTTCCAAACAAGTTATATAGTTGAAAGTTAGTAGTATATGGCTTCAAATTGTATCTCTTCTACGTATAACTTACATTATAATTTGTTTGGAAATTTGCTTATTCTCTATAAAATCTGTATTAATAATAGAGCGATTTTTTTTATTATTAATTTATTTTTTGTTACACGAAAAATTATTCTATTTACATAGTATAGTACACTCGATATCCCACCCTGACGCTAAATTCAATGAACTTGATTCAAATAAAAAAATTTCATCGAATTTGGTCGGAGTTATAGTTGTTAGGCGAAACTGTTTTGCGAAAATGACGAAAGACGAAACCTAGACCCAAAAAAGACGAAAGGCGACGAAACCCTGACGAAAGACGAAACCCCTGACGAAAGACGAAACCCCAGATGAAAGGCAAAACCGGCGAAAGACGAAACCTCTAACAAAATTCGAAACCTGCGAAACCTCCAGAGAAATGAAATGCCGAAACTTTATTAAAAGAT